CATGGGAGGAGGTGACACGGGGGGAGGTGACAGGGTACTTCTCAGAGACAGAAGAGCTATCTCCATGCACCAGCTAATCCTCCCAGAGCCACGAGCCGGAACCCCTGCACTCTGTAGTCCCGGGGCGAGTCTCTGACCAGCACCAGCGTGCCCATGCCGACGTCTGCGGTCCTTGTCCCCGACCCCCCTGTGTGCATTTGCTCAACTGCCCTCCATCTCCCGAGTCGTGGGCCAGAGGGCCCCAGGGTTACGTCCTCCTGTCCTCCGGGCGGCCGGTCACTGGGGACAGCCACCTGCCTGTGAGGCTGCCTGAGAGCCCGGCGCCCTGGCACCACCGACTGGGCCTCAGCAGAGGCCCCTGGGGTCGGCCCGCGCTGGCACTGGGCTCCGTCCGGCTCCCCCTCCCTGGCTGCCCGAGCTTCCCCTTAATAAACAGCGCACACCGGAGCCCTGCTCCCCCAGCCCGTTACCAGGGCTCCACTTAAAACAGTCCCACAGATGGAAGGGGTCTGAGTTCATCTGAGAACCGCCGACGAACGCAGCCGGAGTCCCCGGGAAGGGGCTCTCTCGTCCGCTGAGAGGTCATTCGCTCCTCACCCCGCATTCTTGAGAGCGTCCCGCCCGGTGGGGGACGCTGCTGGGAGCCCTTCCTCTGCCCTCGGAAAACGATCTTTCAAAGGAAACGAGAAGGGCAGGACGCTTATCAGGAGAAGAAGTTGGTCTGGAATGTGACTTGACTTTGCTGCCCCCTCCCCCGCCAGTGGGGACGGCCGTCTTAACTTTCAGAAAAATAGCCTCTTCCTGCCAAGTCCGGCCGCCTGCCTGGGGGCCCAGCGGGAGGGCCCTGGATGGAGGCGGCACCGGGCGGCCTGCCTGGGACAAGCGGCCACCACGGCCGACTGTCACCGGGTCATCCTCACTCTCACTGCAGGGCTGGTCCTGGGCGTTACAAGGCGGAGCCCGCGGACTGATTCCCATGAGGCATGTTCCCACGTGGAGGCACCACATGGGGCTGCTGTCCTCGAACCCGGCGCCGGGGGAGCTGCGTGGGGCGTCAGGGCTGGTCCTTGGAGCCCGGCCAGTCCCAATGACAGGAGGGGGTGGGGGACCGTCGCTGGGGAATGGCATTTGGGTGCCTCTAGTCCCTAACCCCACTTCGGAATATCCCAGCCACCCCAGCGTGGCGCCGGTGACCGGAGTACCACAAGTCTCTGAGCTGAAAGCATGTCTGTGTTAAGATGTTGACCTCCCAAGAGCAGTAACACATTTCTCTGGTGCACTAACCAGGACTTTTTGGGGTGCGGGTGCCAGAAACGTAACTCGAAATGGCACGTGCAAGACAGGATTTAATTGGCTTGGTCATCAGGGTGGACTGGCTTCGCGCACAGCTAGGTCAGGGGCCAAAATGAGGCCATCAGAAATCCGCTTTCCATTCGGCAGCTTTGCCTTGCGGAGTCGGCTGGGTTCTCGGCTGGCCCCCCCTCCCCGCTCCACTCCCAGTCTCCTAGCAACCCCAAAAGAAGGCGTGCTCAGCCAGCGGACCAGCCCGAATCCCAGGACCGCTTCTCATTGGCTCAGCTTGGGTCACGAGGCCTCCGGGAACCAATCACGGTGACTCTGGTTGATGAGGCCTAGAGGTGCTCCGCGGGTGTGGGAACAGGGGTGGGGCTCTTCCCCACGGAAGAGAGAGTGGGTGATGAGAAGGCAGGCCTACCCGGCTGCCACGCTGACTGTGCGCTTCCTGCCTCCACGGTGACAAGTCGCAGGGGGCAGCCCCCTACGGGATGAAGGCACTACCTTGGGACACGCGGTGGGCGTGGGCAGCATTAGGGCTCCGGAGGACCTGGGGGACAGCACTCTCTTAGTGGCTGAGCGCCCTGCAAGACTAGCACTCAGGCGGCTTGCCGGGTGCTCGGCCGGGGAGGCGTGGCGCGCACGACTCCCACCAGCAGGCTGGCTTCCCCCGCCTGGTTTAACGGGAAAGAAAGAATCTACTCGGGTTTTCCGTGTCACAGACCAGGTCACGCTCACGTGCGGCCTGGCAGGGATCAGGATGCGGCTGGGAGGGACGCTGAGTTTTAGTTGCGGGACTATCCCGACTTGTCCTTTGGTTGTTCCCTCGAAAGGATCGCAGCGCCACCTACAGGCAGCTGCGGTTACGGCGCTTTGTCTTATGGCAAAGCACGGACTCCGCGCTGCTTCCGAGGAGGGACCTGTGTTTGGAGAGGTGACTGGCCTGCCGTCTGGGGAGAGGGGACCCAGGACAGAGACCCCAGCCCGGGGACTCCAGAGCCCACATCCGTAAACCTCCCATCGCAGCCGAGAGTCTGAGCCCGGGAGGAGTTGGGGGGACGGAGGGAGGCTGCAGGAGAAAAAAGGTGCAGGCGTGGAGGAGAACCCAGGTGTCCCCGCACCGGCTGCGGGCCGGGCCGGCAGCCCCCAGACTGGGAGAGCGTGCTGCCGTTTGTTTGCTGAAGGGGACAGTGGTGTGGGCGAGGTGCGCACGCACTGACTGTCTGAACCGGCTCCATGGGGAGAGGCCGCCCGCAGGAAGGACGCAGGAGGACGGCAGCAAGTGGAGACTGTCCGGGGCAAATGGGGGACACGGGGTCGCCAGCACTAGAGCTTCCCACAATCCCGTGCGGCCTCACTCCCACGGGGGGGGGGCAGGGGGGCGGTCGAACGTGGACCCACCCTCAGCCCTGTGAGCCACCCAGCTAAGCCTATTTCCAGACACAGTAAAGACGGGACAAAAGACAGTTTAAATAATTAACTTACTCAGTTCTGCCAACAATGTAGCAAGGCATTCTCATGGTTTGGCCTCAAGGTTGGGGCTCCGCTCTGTGACCTGGGGCGAGATCCCAGGGGGTTCAGAGTCCTGCTCAGTAGATGGAGGGGAGGGGCAGCCCCCACTGTGACAGCTTTGGCTGCGTCCGGGCTGCTGGCCAAGCCCTTGCTGCAAACTGCTCCGCTCCGTGCTCGTGACAGCCCCACGAGGCGGGGGCCCTCATCACCTCCCAGCGGCAGACCGGGCCTGGACCCCAGCGCCCCACAGCTCACAAGTACCTACATGTGGGGTTGTTTTGGTGATCAAATGACGCGATGCTCGTTAAAAACTTGGCACATCGCCTGGAAGACAGCAGAGGGCCCTGGACACACGGAGGCCCCTGGCTGGGCGTGAGGAGCACTCAGCACCCGGCGCCTCTGTCTGACACTGGGGGTTGGGAGGCTCGTGGCTTGAGGCCCCCTCGGGCGAGCAGGACCCATCGCGGGCAAACCTTCCATCGTCCTCAGCGTCCGGAGGGCGAGCACCGCCGACCTGGCCGGTCGGAGAGCCCCAGGGACCTGGAGCACCCGGCAGCCCCGCTGCGGCCGGGAAAAGGCCATGTCCCCGAGGATTCTCGAACCCAGACGGTCATCCACAGAAGTGTCCTCGGTGGAGAGCTGGCGGGAGCGGACAGTTGTCCAGTCCTCCGAAACAGAGGCCGGGAGGGGGGGCACGGCACTGCCACCAGCTGCTCACCTGGGTCCGAGAAGCCTTCGGGGTCCCCGAGGGCGCGTGTTATGGGCACACGGGGAGCGCGCTGCGTGCTCGCCGTCAATCCTCGCGCAGGTCCTTGGGTCACAGGAGAACGCCTGAATCGCCCCCCAACCCCCCGAACCCTGGGGTCTCCCAGGCAGAGGGCCCGGGACCCACCCTCGGAGTCCCTCTGCGGCATGAGGGCACACCAGGGGGCCAGGACCAGGGCGTCCTGGGCAGCAAGACTCGAGTTCAAGTTCTGGATCCAGGTGGGTGGTGTGACCCCGGGCAAGCTGGTGAACTCTCTCGGAGCCTCGGTTTCCTCGCGGGTGAAACGGGGAAAAGGAGACCTTCCTCGTAACTTAAAGAAACAGTGTACGTTGTGTGCTTAGCGGGGCGCCTGACACTAGTAGTAGCAGGGTTACACACACACACGAAGAACGTTAGCCACTGTTACTAGTGAGTGTGTCCTGGAAATTAATCTCCTTTCCTTGCAGAGAGGCCAGGCCGGTGGGTCGCCGCGGGGCATCTCCGAAGTAGGGGCGGGAGTGGGAGGGGCCGGAGGGGAGCGAGTGGACGCGGTCCTCTCGCGCCACCTGCCGGCGACACCGGCCCAAGGCCGGTGGCGAGCGCCGCGAAGGGGGTCCTTCATCCGGGAAGACGAAAGCGGTCCAGGGCGTGCGTGTGCTGCGTTCGAACGACGATTTCCGGCTCTTCGCGCTCCCGGAGCGGGGCCCCCGAGACGCGAGAGGCCGGCGGCGCCCCGGCCCCTCCGGCTTCCGGACACCGCCCGGCGGAGGCTTCCGCGGCTCCCGTGAGTAGCCAGGGGGCAGGCTGCATGGCGCTCAGCTCCCGGTGCTTCGGGGCGCGGGCAGATCCTTCCTGCAGCCCAGCCCCCGACGCCGGCCGGCCTTGCCGCTGCGTTTCCCTTCCCTCCCGATCCTGGTGGCTCCCGGTGGCGGGGCGGCCGTGGAAGGGGGCGGCGCTCCGGGTGTGTTTTGAAGGTGGAGGTTGTGGGACTTGGAGCCGCATGGGTGTTAGAGCGGGTTGTGCCAAGGATGATGTTGTGGCTTTGGTTTAACTCGCGGAAGTGAGATGTGAGGTTGGGGAGGGCAGGAGGGCAGGTGGGCGGGCCGCCTGGGGGCGAAGGGAAGCCGTGCAGGTCAGAGGACCGCGGGTCTGGGTGACGAGGGGTTGTTGGATCTCAAGGAGGGGACATCCACATTTAAGAATAACCTTTTTTTTGCTTACATACATTGTAACATATACGTCATATACGTCATATACGTCATATACCTTGGTACTGGTGGGCTTCGGAACGCGTCAGCCCTGTGCTGGTCGCATTTGGGCGAGGAAAAGATGTTCCAGCACTCGGCGCGTGCTCGGACTCCTGACGAGAACGGGTGGGGGCTGGTTTTGGTGCTCGTGGGTCTGGGCACTCATCACGAGTTCCAGAAGGAGTCAACAGTGCACACGTACGTTCGTTCTTTCAGGAAAGTTGAGTATTTTACTATGTTCTGTCAATCACAAACTGCAACTCCCGAACATCCCGCATTTTTGTTGCAATAATGTGTAAGGTGACCCATAATCAGACGTCATTGGTGTTAATGAGTAAATAGTCGAGATTTCTGTCACAGAGCAGGAGGTCAGAGATGGAGGGAGATACATTTCATTGTGGGGTTCTTGTGGCTTCAGAATCAAGGAGGTGATACACATAATCAGAAAACCTGTGTGTGTGTGTGAGTTTGTGTGTGTGTGTGTGTGACAGTGTCAGGGAGCAGAGGTCGGTGGCCCTGACTGGAGAGGCGGAACCACACGTTGTGCACACTCGGGCAGCACGCCGGCTGGAAACCACTGCTCGGAGCTTCTTGAGTCTAAGACGCGACCCGTGCATTCCCGAGCCTTCCCGTGAGTGAGAGATGTTACTAGTGAAGAGCAGGAGGAGTCTCATTTTAGCACTTTTCATTTTTCTATTGCCTTGGGGCAAATTTTCGTTATTCTTTTTACAAAATGTTTATTTATTTATTTTTAGAGAGAGGGGAAAGGAGGGAGAAAGAGAAGGAGAGAAACAGCACTGTGTGGCTGCCTCTTGTGCACCCCCTACTGGGGACCTGGCCCACAACCCAGGCCTGTGCCCTGACTGGGGATCAAACCTCTGACCCTTTGGTTCGAAGACTGGTGCTCAGTCCACTGAGCCACACCAGCCAGGGGTGTTTCTAATCTTTAGTTCATATTACATAGTCCGTGACGCTGCAAGGTCAGCGAGAACCCACCGGGGACTGTGACTGTGGTCCCCTCACCCGCTCTGTCTGCCTGAAATATTCTTCCCCCCACCCCTCCCCTCCACGCCAGCGTATCACAGACTTCACCCACTCTTCAAGCCACTCTCTCAACACCGTAACTGTCCTGAAATACCCCCTGAGCCTCTCAGAGGTCTGACGGAACCTCTCTCTCCCCGGTGTCCCCAGCCCACATCTGCCTTGCCATCGCGTCCTGCGGGGACGCCCCCGGCACCCCTGTGGCCTGGCGGCGGCCCAGCCCGGCGCCGCACGCTGGGCTCAGCAGGGAGCTTCCCAGCTGGAAGACTGTCCGACTTAGGCCCTCAGTTCCGCCGGTGAGGATGCGGACCCGAGCTCAGACGCAAGTCCCACTGACCGCGGGGGACCGCGTTCGCTTGTCCTGTCTTCTGCGGGGGCAGCGTGGACGCAGACGCGCGTGCCCCGGGACACGAGGGCAAGGGCATCTGCTTCCCGGAAGTTCGGAGTCCGCTGGGCAGAGGAGGCAGCAGCCATCTGGGGAGTGAATGGACGATAAACACGGACACGAAGGTGTGAGTCGAGGAGTCCCCGTCTGCGGTCACACTGTGTGATCTTCCCGATCACGGTGTGGGACGACAGGGTGGCAGGTTGGTGCATGAAGCCGCAGCGCCGGCGGGGTGGCGGGGTGGCCGCCCTGGGGGCGGGGGTGGGGGCCCGTGGAAGTGCAGGTGGGGGGGTGTCTCCGTCCCTCTCTGTCGTCGCTGCCTTGCCCTCCGGGTTTCGTGGCCGATTCTGTTCACGTGGTCAGGGTCTCGGTCCGCACCCGCTGGCTGCCGGTGCTGATTCCTGCGCTGGGTTTCCAGTGGCTGCGGGCCCGCCGACGCGGCTGGGTGTCGTCACTACTCATGGCATCTGCGTCACGTTGGCCCCTCTCCTCCCCCCGGGGCAGGCTTCCCGGCGGGCGCCCCGCTCCTCAGTGTAGGTGCCCCAGGGAGTCCGACGCGGCGCCGGCGGCAGTGCTCCCCAGGCCTGTGGGGGGCCTGGCCGGGGACGGCTCGGGTCCGAGCCCCTCACAGCGCGTCAGGAAGGACTGCCAGTTGGGGGGCGTGAGGGGCAGCTTTATCTGAAAATGGTTCCAGAACCTGTCAGAGAGAGAGAGCAGAGATGAGGTCTGGCTCCCTCCCCGCCTGCTGCGTCTCGGGGTCTGTCGGTTGCCGCCGTCAGCCCTCCCCGAGAAACCCGTTTCGGGGCTGGTCCGGCCGCTCAGGCGGCTCAGCATCCAGGGCATTTTGGCCGGCTGTGGGGGATCCTCGTGCGGGAAAGCGCAGGTGTATTCTCGGAGCCCGCTGCACCAGGGCCCGGACTGGGGGGTGGGCAGGGACCTGGGCGGCCCCCTGCGTCGGTGCCGGGAGGGGGGCTGGCTCCCCAAGCCAGGACTGGGCGGGCGGCAAGGCCGTGTGGGCACTGGGTCCCGCAGCCTCGCCCCTGCGCCAGGAATTTGTCCTGAGGAATCGGCGTTTATTGGCCAAACCACTGTTCCCAACAGCGAGAAGTTAGAACTCTGCAGGGAGACAGACGGTGGAGGAAACTGTCCCGCGAACACGCGGGCAGAAAAGTGTGCACAGCATTGTCCTGTTTCTGTGAACGGTGCACGCACTCGTCCGCGCTCTTAAACAGAACACACAGGCTAGCTGGACACTAAAGTGTGAATCGCTCTGTCTGTCATGTGCGATCACTTGTGGTTTAAGTTTCTTCCTACGTTCGCAACATCGTTCCACACTTCCTACAGCAGATACGTACTGCCTCCAGAGCTACACACACACACACACACACACACACACACGCACATGCATCGCATTTCAAGAGCAACGAAGGCAAACTGGGCTGTGGCTGCCCCCCAAAATTCCTGTGAAACCCCACCTTCACGGCCTTTGTCCTGGGGACACAAGATAACACAACAGTCTCACACGGCAGTATCCTAGAAGTTTCCAAGATGGAGGATGTTTTCTTAAGGAGCCCCCAGGATGCCCCCCGAGATGCTGCACACAGCCCCCCTTCCCCAGAACAGGAAGGCAGGCGTGCGCCCTGGGGAAAGAGACCGCAGTGGGGACTGTTGTACGGCTGTTGACTCGTTTGAGGTTGACGTGTGCGTCCCAGCCAGGAGGGGGACCACAGGCGCCCCGATGAGCCCCGGCCGGGTGGGTCAGTAGTTGGAACACGGTCCTGTACACCCAACGTTTGCGGGTTCGATCCCCAGTCGCGGTATATTTGGGAAGGAAACAATCGATGTTCCTCCCAAATGGGTGTTTCTCTCTCTCTCTCTTTGTCTGTCTCTCCACCCACAAAGCGAACACATCCTTGGGTGAGGATTAAAAAAAAAAAGATACACCAATGGGTAAAAAGGCAAGCTGTAGAATGCAGGCCCTGGGCTTATGTTACATTGGCGACAATACCCACCCCCAACCACAGGGGGCGTTTGATGGAGAACCGATGAGTTCAGGGCAGTGCCGATACACCCTGCACTGGGCCTGGGGTGATCCCCACCCAGCTGCTCCCAAAGGCCGCCGTGGAGTGCAGTGGGGGGAGGGGCAGGACACGGGATTGTGTGGGGTGGGTTCTTTACTTTCTATTTTACAGACTTCTACATCCTTCACATTTTTTTTATCCTTTAAAAGCACTTGAAAGCAATGAAGTGAAAAAGAAATTTTAATATATTTCGAGCAAGCTCCTGAGCTCAAGGGTGGAAGGGAGGTGGTGGGTTTTGCTCATTGAAAATACATTTCTGCGTTTTTCAGGGGGTCTGGGCTAATGGTAAGGGAGTGTCTCCCTCTGGTGGCTGCTCTGCAGACATGAAGATGGCCCAGGGGCCTTTCTGTCATTTCAGCTCAAGCACTTCCCCTATAACTTTAAAGTCTGATGCAAGGGACTCGCATGGGTTTTCTTGTTCTTTTTTAAATCCTCACCCGAGGGTATGTTTATTGATTTTAGAAAGAGAGGAAGGGAGAAACACTGATTGGCTGCCTCCCAGAGGACCCTGACGGGGGATCAAACCCACAACCTAGGTATGTGCCCTGACCGGGAATCGAACCCTTAACTTTGGGTGTACAGGAGGACGCTCTAAGCAACCGAGCCACTCCGCCTGGGCAAACAAACCAGACTTGCTCGCCACAGGCTAACAAAGGCAGGCGGCTCTGGCGGTGCAGCCCCACGTGACCGCCGGTCACCTAGTCGGCAAGGGGCGGGGGACGACGGGCAGGGCGGACTCACAGGTGGTGGTATATGTCCGGATCCCTCCGCAGCCGCGTCTGAAACCCTATGTACAGGTCGTCCCACAGCAGGCCGTTCTTCACCACGTGCCGCATGACGTCCACCCGGCTCCGGATCTGAAACGGACGTGGGACAGTGAGCAGGGCGCCCCCCCAGCACAGCGGCCCCTGGATGTGCCTGGGGCGTCCCGGAGAGGCGGCTGCTAGAGCGGATACCACAGGCTGGGCGAGAAGGGGCCGCAGTGCGGGGGAAGCGGAGGATCGGGAAACGGGTCAGGAGCCGGAGCGCGTCATGGTTCAGAGCGCAGTCAGATTCGTGGGTTCAAATCCAGGCCCTACCATCCCGTGCCTGCTTCCTCTTTATTTTTTAAAAAACATCTTATTTATCTATTTTTAGAGAGGGGAAGGGAAGGAGAAAGAGAGGGAGGGAGAGAAACGTCAGTGTGTGGTTGCCTCTCACACGCCCCCTACTGGGGACCAGGCCTGCAACCCAGGCATGTGCCCTGACTGGGAATCGAACCAGTGACCCTGTGGTTCACAGGCCGGTGCTCAATCCACTGAGCCACACCAGCCAGGGCCATCACCTCGTTTATAGAATGAAGATAACGGACCACTCCTCCCAGGATCTGTGTGAGGAGTAATTTGGCCAAGGTACACGGAATGCATGAGCAGGGCCCGGCACTCAGGGAGCGCCCGGCCAGTGTGTGCCGTCACTGCTGCTCTGGACGCAGGACACCGGGTCTCCCGCCGGGGCCTGCAGAGGCTAAGCAGGGCCAGCAGTGTCTTGGGCACGGCTCCTCCCTGAGGTCGTCACGGCCTTTACCTGTCGAGAACCCCAGCCCCTGACGCAGAAGGTGTTGGACAGCCAGGGTGCACAGGCTTAGGAGGCAAGCAGAGGTGGATTGCGATTTCAAGTAGCTCCTGTGATGAGCGGCAGCCAAAGGGTGGGGAGAGGCGGCAGAGCCCGAGGGAACTCAGTGCAGGGGGCGGGGGCTGCGGTGTGGGCGGCAGCTGGTGCGCAGGAAGCAGCTGCCCCACGTCCGGGCGCGGTCCCACCGAGCACCTCCAGATGGCTCTCGGAATACAAGGGATGGACCTGTTGGGGGAGGGGAGCGAGAGAGCAGGCAGTGTGTGGGTCATGTCCCAGGACCAGAGCCTCCGCACCTTGGTACTTAGGGGTGCCCGGCCTCGTAGCTGGCTCCTCACCCTCGTAGCTTCAACTAGTGACCCCTGGCCCAATGCAGTCTGACCTACAGCCCCTTTGAGAAAACGGAATGATCAAATTATCGCCCTGGCTGGGTGGCTCAGTTGGTTGAAGCGTCCTCCCGTAACCAAAGGTTGCGGGTTTGATTCCTGGTCAGGGCACACAGCTAGGCTGGGGGTTGAGCCCCAGTTGGGGCACATACAGGAGGCGACACATCAGTGTTTCTGCCTCACATCGATATTTCTCTCTCCTTCCCTCCCTCTCTACAATCAATAAACAGAGCCTTGGGTGAGGATTTTTAAAAAATACAATAAAGTGAAAACTTGGATTATCTTTCCACAGGTATAAATCTGGGTATTTTACATGAAAATCCAGATTCCCAAGTTCTCTGGGAAGCTGAGAACACAAATCCAGCCGTTAAAATGTCATTCGGTGAGGGCGGCACCTGGAGGCCACTCACGCCCCCCAGGCACTCGTAGAAGCTTCAGGACGGGCTGTGTGTGCCCTGCCAGCTCAGCTAACAGCTCTCACGTGCGTGTGGGATTCACATGAGTTCCAGTGCACGCTCACATGTATGCTATTTCTCATGCTATTTCTTTCTCTTTTTTTAAAGATTCTATTTATTTATTTTTAGAGAAGGAAGGGAGGGAGAAAGAGAGAGAGAGAGAAACATCAGTGTGCGGTTGCTGGGGGTCATGGCCTGCAACCCAGGCATGTGCCCTGACTGGGAATCGAACCTGCGACACTTTGGTTCGCAGCCCGTGCTCAATCCACTGAGCTACGCCAGCCGGGGCTTCTCATGCTATTTCTCACGGGAAACTGGCAAGAAGGCGACGCACCCCGTGGCAGGAGGGAAAGCGAGGCTCGGACAGCTCAGTAACTTGCCCTGAGCCCACGGCTCCAGCCTCACGCCTGCCGCGGGTGAGGGGTTTGCTCAGACTGGAGCTCAGGAACTGTGTTCGTCTATGCTGCCTTAGCCCCCTTTCCGGCCCACTCCCCGGGTTCCCGTGGGCAGGAGACGCCCCGGATGTGGGGTGAGGGGCGCGCAGCAGCGTCCAGCCACTCCGCCGGCGGAGAGGGGCAGGCAGAGACCGGCCCCCGCAGAGCACTGGCAGAGAGCAAGCGCACAGCCTGGTGGCAGGGACTGTCTCCCTGTGGGGGTGTGAGCTGTGACAGGCGCACCACAGTCAGGGCAGGCGTGAAAGCACCGGTCCTGCTGGCCTGGCGGCTCTTCGGTCACTCTAAACGACCCTCGAGGAACAAGTTCAGGCGGACGGAAGGAAGGGGCAGGGAGGGACGAGGGCCACTCCCACGTCCACGGCCCACTCACCTCCTCATAGGGGTGCTCCCGGCTCGGTCTCTCTTTGGGAAAGGACAAGTCCAGGAAGTCGACCAAGTAGTCGTACCCGCCCGGGAGGGGGCTGAAGTCCTCGTCCGTCTCGACCATCTGGGGGACGACGGCGTGGGGAAGGGCAGACACGGGTCAGTCTGGGGCAGGGTCCTTAAGGGAGCTCTAGGCTGTGTAAGACCCCAGTGCGCCCAAACGGGCTCAGTGACCTGGGGTTTGGACAAGAGGATTCTCTGCCCCTCTCCCAGCTCCTGCCCCTCATCGACTCCCATCAGGTTTTCCGAGGTTCTCAGTACCCTAAGTGTACCGGCAACGGACGCCCAGCACCGCCCACGGTTGCCGAGTGACTCCGTGTGGGGTGTTTCCCGTCGTCACGCGGCAGCTGAACGTAAATCGTCTCACCGAAGTCTCCAGCCGTGTTCCCTTTCCCCTATGACCTGTCCGACCGACCGCACCCCGAGTCCCAGGGTTTCCCGGGTCTGGGGTCGGCAAAGACAGCTCCCTGAAGGGCACTGGGGAGCTGACAGAGACACCCAGATTTTATTCTGAAGACTTTTACATCTGCGTGCACCCCACTGAAGGCCGAGCGCACCCCACTGAAGGCCGAGCGCACCCCACTGAAGGCAGAGTGCACCCCATTGAAGGCGGGGGGGGGGGGTCGTGGCTGTTGTCAGCCGGCCCAGCCCATCGGTTAGGCAGCGCTGGGAGGGGGAGGGCCTGCTGGAACTCGGCTCGGGATCCTGCGGGTTTCCGTCCACTCCCACAGCCCACGACAGCAAAGAAGAACAGGCAGAGTGGCCTACCCGGACCACCAGGTTGTAATCCTTGAATCCAGCCCACGTGAAGTACTCCTTGATCCAGGCGGGGTGCTGGAACACGGAGTCTCCCACGGCAGCATTCAGGATCTCCAGGTAGGGCCTGAAGTCCCAGGTGTCCTTGTAAACTTTGGCGCCCCCTGGAGGCTCTGTGATGCACTCACTTCAAGACGGAGGCGAGAGGGCGGTGGGAGAAGGAAGGCAGGCACACGTTAGCGTTCCAAATCCAAAGCCAAGCCGCCCAGTAGCTCCTCCGCCGTGCTCAGAGAGGGGGCCCAGGACCCCCCAGAAGTAGTCAAAGTAAGCAAAGGCCTCTCTGGCCCTGGAGCTGCAGAAAATACACCGCTTTTATCCTGAGGGCGCTGGGGAGACCCTGAAGTTGAAGACGGGAGGGATGGCAGTGGCTTTGCGTTTTAGAAAGGTGACCCTGGCAGCAAGGGGTGTCCAGACCCTTCCTGTGACCCCGGTAAGGATGGCACTCCACACCAGGACCCTGGAGGGCCCCATGTCAAGGGTCCCTGGGGTACAGTAACTTCCTAAACGACACTCACCCTTGTCCTATGCAATGTACTCAGGTCTATTCTAGTCTTCTTTCTTTCTTTCTTTCTCCCCCCTCCCCCTCCCTCTCTCTTTCTTCCTTCCTTTCTTATCCTCACCTGAGCATATGTTCATTCATCTTAGAGAGAGAGGAAGGGAGGGAGAGAGAGGGAGGGAACATCAATGTGAAACATTGATTGGTTGCCTCTTGTACATGTTCCGATCGGACTGAACTCCACAACATTTCGATGTATGGGATGATGCTCCAACCAACTGAGCCACCGGGACAGAGCCTGTTATTTCATTTAAAAAGATGCTTATTGTGCCCTGGCTGCTGTGGCTCAGTGGACTGAGAGCTGGCCTGCAAACCAAGGGGTCGCAGGTTTGATTCCCAGTCAGGGCCCAGTAGGGGGTGAGAGAAGCAACCACACATCGATGTTTCTCTCCCTCTTTCTCTTTCCCTTACCCTCTCTAAAAATAAATAAATAAAATCTTTATGCTTATTGCAATCAATGCCGTGATTGTACAACCATCAGCCACCAGCAGGGGCTGCTGTGCAATCCACGTGAAAAGCTAAGAGCTGAACACAGGCCACGCAGAGGGCTGGCGACGCGGGTGGGTCTGTGGAGATGCCTGGAGGAGAACAGACCAGGCTGGGTAAGGAGTTTGATGCGGGGGCTCAGCCACAGGCGAGGCGGCTGCCCGCCCGCCCCCCCCCGGGCAGGCCTGTGGTGGGGTGAGGCCGGGAGGAGGTGAGCTCCGGGGCCTGCGCCCCTCTCCGACTCCACTGGTTCATTTCTGTGCGAGGAACTCACGTTCCATTTGGCTCCAGACAGGTGTTCACAGACTCCAGGTCTGTGCCACCGACGGCAGCTGTCCGCGCCTTGCACGCCCGCAGCGGGCCTGCGGGTCACAGGTACGCTCTGGAGCGGAGGCCGATGGGAAACCACCTGTCAGGCTGCTCCCACTTCACTTACTCCAGCCGCTGACTGCCGACTCCCCACCAGGAGGACCCCTCCCCCCTGCCCTGGAGGCTCTGAGACGAGGAAGGCGGCTGAGCAGTTCCTGCAGGACGAGAACTTCCCGGAGACGCGGGCTTCCCCCTCGATTTGAAAGCGCCCAGCTCACAGCTTATCTTGTTCAAACAGTGGCCTTCTTGTTCTGTCTCAGCCCCCCGTGCTAGGCGACAGGGCCCGCCGTCCCCGCACAGCCACCCGTCACGGGCCACAGCGAGCCCTCTGTCCTCTCGGCCGGGAACACCCGCGAACGCCCGCAGGTCCTCCTTATCTCTGTGACCGTCCGAGCCGAACCTGTCTGTCGGGTCCTTCAGCATTCGGCCCAGGTCCAGCGTGGCTCCCGGGCGGGGCGTCCACGTCACCACTTCGGAGCTTTTCTGGATGAGGTCGTTGAGTTCGCGCGGGTCGTTTTTGGTGTTCGTGTCCTTAATGTACCTGCGGAAGGAGAGGCGCCCCGGGGGGCGGGGTGTTCCCGAGGCGCAGGCTGATCAGGACGGCAAACTTGCGGACTGGATTTTGCCGCCTCCGCCTTCTCCCTGCCCGACCCCTCCGCGCGCCCCGGCGGACAGCGGAGACTAGACCCGGGCCAGGGTCCCCGACCAGGGAAGCATTGGTGGGCAGGGGAGGCTGTGTGCACGCCTTGGTTTTACGTGCAATGATAGGGTGTTACATGTAAATGTGGAATCAGTATCTAGGACGCGATCCGTATTGCGAAGAAGTCACGTGTGGGACACGGACAGGTAGGTGGGAGCGGCGCGCTCTCGCACTGAATGCTAACTAAGTGAGGGCCCCTCGTCAGGAGTTAGGCCACGCGCTTCACCCGAGCTAACTGGTTTGGTCTTCGCAGTCTCCAACGAGGGAGCCGCCATTACTGCTCCCCTTCTATGGACAAGGGCGCCGGCCTAGGGCGGCCCGGCGACTTGCCCCCGGTGGCCCCGCGCTGTGTCCACCCAGCCCGGGCAGGCCCAGCCTTCCCAGGAGGCTGCGGGCGGGGGGTGGGGGCCTCCCCTCAGGGTGGGGAGTCCAGTCTGCCAACTTCCCACCCCTTCCGCCATGTGAGGTTGCATGAGAAAGTCAGCACCTTGATCTTGGACTTCCCAGAACTGAGACAAAGAAATTTCTGTTGTTTGTAAGTCCAAAAAAAAAAAAAAATTTTCATTGCAAACCACTAAAAATCCACCGTTGCCAAAGAACACAATGCCGAGGGTCACGGCCCTTCCCGAGGTCTGCAGTCCAACCGTGCCTTGGCTCTCGGTTGGGTAGCTCCCAAACCTAGGTCCAAACCGCAGCCTTTCGGGAAAAGCCGCAACCCCCATTGCAATGCCTTATGGGGAGTGTGGCAGCCCCCCATTGCAATGCCTTATGGGGAGTGTGGCAGCCCCCCATTGCAATGCCTTATGGGGAGTGTGGCAGCCGAGGCGAGAAAGGCAGCTCCAGGGCAGGGCGCGTTCGGGTTTCATCCCCCCGCGGGCAACGCACACGCCGTTGCTGCTGGAGGGAGTCTACTCTCTGAGTTAGTTGCAGCGTGGTCCCCTGGACTACGCGGATACTTGCATTCAGGTGCCCAGCCGCAAACACAGGCGAGCGTTTGTGTCCCTACAGCACCAAGGTGGCCTGGCCTACGTTACTTACGACCCTGGAGTTAATTTTGCAGACAGGGGTAAAGCTGTCCCCGTCCCCGTGGCCTCAGCGGCGTCTCCCTCCTGCGCGGCTCGCGTCCTGCCACCCGGAGCAACGCCACCACGGTCTCAGCCCCCGACTCCCTCTGGTCCCCAAACGTTGGCGAGCTGGCCCCCTGCCTTCGCCCTGCTCCTCTCTAAACCAGGCTGCTGCGATCGCTCTTCCTAAAACACAGCGGTGGAGGTCACAACCTTCCGTAACCTCTTGATGCTGCTTTGCCTCCCTGTCTAAAGTCGTTAACAGAATCGATCGCAGGGGCAGCGCAGGTACTGAGGGGGGCGCTGGCCGGACGACTGCGCATGCACGGAAGTGTGGCTGGCGGGCGCCATGACCCGCAGGCACCGCGGCGCGCGCAAGGGTCCAGTGAGTGAACAGGCGCCCACGACGCGGTTCATCCGCAAGTCCTTGCAGCTCGGCCTCCGTCATGGCCCTGGAGTCTGAATTCTCAACCTTTGCTGCCACTCGTCATGGCTTCTGAGGTCACCGTAGTGACTCCCGGAGGCGAGGGGTAGCCAACACCCAGCCATACCTGTCCGATGGGTGCGCTTCCACGAAGTACCCAGCAAAGGGGCAGAAAATCCGGGGCTGCAGCTCCCGCACCAGCCGCGCCTTGTAGTGCAGCAGCTTTCTCCGCTCCGCTCGGATGAACTGGGCTTTCCACTCCTCTGCAAGGACAAGGCTCGGGTTAGTCTCCTCCATGTGGGCAGCCATCGCAGGACAGCCACCGTTCCCGTGGGTCCGGGCTCCCCCCGGAGGGCGGGCGGATGGATGACTCACGCAGAAATAACAGCAAACCTCCGCGTCATCGCTCTAAGGTTTGCCGAGTTCCGCTGGTTGCTGGGAAAACGCTACCAAATCAGCCAAAGACACTGACCCCCCCCGCCCACCCCGTGGTTCCTGGCAACTCACTGGGACCCCGGCTGAACTCACGCACGTGTGGTTGCCTGTCTCCCTGTGCGTGCACACTCTAAGGGCACGCTGATTCTCGTCGTTATGAGCTCTCTGCTGACGTGGGAATGCCTTTACGTATTGTTTTGGTGGGTTGAGCAACAAAGCGGGTCCGCCACACCTGGGCCCAGGCACAGCGGCCAGGAGCGTGAGCGGTGAGTGAGGTAGCACGGGACAGAATTGCAGGTGCCCCAGGAAAACGCCTGCGCCCGCTTCCTGCTCTGTAAGGTGGGATCCAGACGCCTGCCTCGCGGGCTGTTCATCTGCCCACTCACTCACTGATCGGTGTGTACCGAGCACCCACTGTGCGCCTGACGCGGCCCCAGGCACGGCGGAGGGAGTAGTGGGCAAGGCCCGCCACTCAGGGCGCATGCATTTTAGTGAGGGAAAGTGGTCACGAGTAAGTCCCTAAAGGAGGCGTTTCAAAGAGTGCGGGACGAAGGAGGAAGTGAAAGAGGTCACAGGTGCGGGGGAGGGGGGGTGGAGGCTGGGCGAGATGGGTGGGTGGAGGGCCGTTAAGGGACTGTGGTTGGTGAAGGTGATATTTGAGTCACAGGCACGGAGGTGATCTGCCGCAGGCACGGAATGACAGCGGCACCTCAGGAAGTGGAAACAGCAGGTGTCAAGGCCCCGGGGCGGGAAGGGGGCACCGGTGAGGGGCGGCAGTGTGGGTGGGCGGTGTGAGCAAACAGCCGCGACAGCGCAGTCTGGGGAGAGAAGCGGTGGGCAGGGCCCAAGGGGCAGGGGACCCGGCAGAGCGCGGTTCACACTCCTGCTGCTGTGAAAATTTGAGAAACAGGAAAAATAAGTGACCCCTGGCCTTGGCATGACCACCATTAGTACACTGGTGCCTGCACTCACTCACACGTGCACACACACATTCACAGATGCAGTTGCACACTCACACTCACTCGTTCACACTCACGCTCGAGTGGGATCATGCCAGCCACCCTTCAACAGGGACGTGTCGTCTCTCCGGTCACACGGTTTTCCCCTTGACCATGCACGGGGGCTCACGTTGTCCCGGAACAAGGGGGATGGACCGAGAGAAGAAAGGAAGGGAGGGGCTTCCTCGTGCTGTGGGGAGCTGCTTCCTGCCACCGTGTTAAATAGAGGCCATTCACCCAGCGGGCAGAGGGGCTCCTGCTGTGGACCCCACACTTTGTTTTAGCTTTGAGATGCAGTTGACACATGACATGGTGTAAGTTTAAGGCGTGCAGCGTGGTGGTTTAATACACACGTGCGTTGCTGAACGACTGCGGACAGTAAGGCGTTGGTTAATGTTCCGCCACCGGCGCGACGGGCGCGGTGTGTGCGCCCGCGTCTGTGAGTGGTGAGCAGCCTCAGGCGCAGGACTCTGCGGTGTCAGCTCCGCGCACCGCGCTGCACGTTTGCATCGCCGGAACTTACTTATCTTGAAACTGTAGGTTTGTGCTCTTTGCCGCCACCTCCCTCCCCACTTCCTCCCCCACGCTTTGAAGAGGCTCCCCCTGGCCGTGCGCCCCTAAGGAGCACTCACAGGGCCCAGGGGACGTGCCTGCGCTCCGTCCTGAACCACACGCTCAGAGCCGCGCCACCTGTCAGACCAATCTCGCCGCGACCTGGTTTCCGCCGTGAGTCACGTGGTCCTTTCTCTCGGCTCCCCCTGCGAGGCCCCGCCCACCTCCGCGCCGCGCCGCTCCGGGCTCCACCAGCGCCCTTGGGGCTGGAAACTTTAGTTTGCCCGCCTGTGACTGGCGCTGAGATCTTGAGCTTCTAGCGGGGAGGCACCGCGTCCTCATTATCTTTGCGTTCACTCTCACGGCCGTGACTGCGCCCGGGTGCCGCCCTGACGTCAAGGATTACCAGTGAACTTTCCGCCGCTGAAAGTCATGGGAAAGCCCGACGCTCCTCCAGCGAAATCACTCATCATCAGAGCGACCTTCGTGGGCAGCCTGCCCCCGTTGGGCCTGGTGCAGTCCACCGTGTTGAGTATTTTGTGCCCTGTGGGGAAAGAAAGGGGAACACCGGGGCTCTGTGAGTTCCGCAGCCGGGGCAGAGTCTTCCGCGCACAGCCCGCGTGGTCTGACTCATGTGACCGCGGGGGACTTGCTCCTGTCCAAGGGGAGACTTCAAACCTAAGATCCTCTCTGGCGTATTTAGAATTGCCCAGTGGCCTCCGGTGAGGACCGTGAGCTCGACTCCACTCCACTCCAGGGTCACAGACGGACCACTGTCCCTGGCCCCCTGTCGCCACATCTGGGCCCACAAAGGAAAGAGGGGCTGGGACAGCGCAAACACCTGGGCCTCTCGCAGACGCCCCCCGGCGCTCGCGTCCAGAAAGTCAGGCTCTTCCCACACGGGAGGCAGACTGCACGCGGCCGTTGGGGTCTAGCACGATTACAGGTCAGGGGGAAGGACGCTTTTTCCACAAAGGCCGCTTTGAAGAAACTGCTCTACGCCAAGTATAGGTTATCTGTTGCCCTGTGGGAAAAGCTTTGCACCTGTCCCCACACGAGACTGGTAGTTGGTTCTCTGCAAAGACCACCCGAACGACAGCCGTCTTCCTGAGACAAGGGTCAGGTACGGTATGCTCTGCGGACACTCCGGACGAAGGAGGTGAACGCAGGGTGAACCTGCCCTTATGACCCTCCCCCCTGGAGCCCTGCTCACCCGTCACCGCTGATAAGCGTTGACAGTACCTTTGTACTCCACGATGATGCAGGTGTCCATCTCGGGGTGGACGCCGTCCATCAGGATCATGAACCGAAGGTTCTTGTCTACCTGCAGTTGCACAAGAACCCAACAGCAGTGGGCGTCAGCCAGCTCTCAGTTCAGTCCTGGAGAGAGCTGTTGCGACTTCGGGAAAGAAGTCTCCTTGAGCCAGGGCTGGATTTCCCTCCTGTGTGATGGAGTCCTGCCCAGGAGCCCACCTTTGATTCTAGCTCCGGGGGCTCTACGGCAGAGGCTGTGTGTACACGGAGCCACGCACAGAGAAAACGGGCCTCTGTCTCTTTAACCCAGAAGCAGCGAGCTCGCCTAAGCTGCGGCCTGGAAAGCGGGCTGGACGGGCGGGAAGGACACAGACGTCTGACCTGCTGCCAGGTCCCGAACGGCACCACGTTGATGTTGGTCAGCTGCACGCCGCTCTGGGGCAGGTGCCAAAACACCGGCCGCTCCGTGTTGCCCACGTAGATGGGGATGTCGGGTCTCCTCTCCGCCAGCTTCCTCAGGGTCGGGTAGCTGGGGCCCGAAGGGCGGAAAGGGCGACAGGTGAAAAACGGGACCCTCTAGCCTCGACACGCTTGGCCACGAAGCAAGTGCCCACAAAAACCGGACCCACGCCAGAGTCTCTCTCAAGGCGACGGATTGGCTAGAAGGTTCCTTTTCCACGTGAGAAGGTACCACACACCTGGTACGTCGGCCAGGTGGGCAGGTTCCCTCCGCCACACGGATGCTGCTTTGGGCAGCGGTGGCTCCCATGGAGGGGCAGAGTGAGACAAGTCACTCGCGAGAGGGTTCCCCTTGTCTGCCTCCGGGAGACAAGGCCCGGGCCACAGCACGAGGGGGACCTGCGGGTTTTTTAATTGTTGAGAATTCTTATAGGCATCTATCAATAATGTCATGCATTAAAATACTCACTATATTTACACAATACGATCACGTTTCTTTGACTAAAAACTGTTCTCGAAAGTACACTGGCCTTTTCCCTTGTTTTTGTAAATCGAGGGGGTTTCATTCAGCAAAGGAGGGTCAGACCAGACAAATGATACATGTGACCCCACGTTTATGAGCCGACCAGACAAGGGTTGAAAAGCAAGAGCCCATCAAGGAAACGGCTGACAGGAGTGAAAGTTGGGAGCTCCCGTGACTTTTCTGTAACCGACGGTCAGCGACACTCGGCACCAGCGCCCCGCAGCGCTGCGGCAGGCGAGAGCCGGCGTTCCGGTGCCTGAGAACTTGGCCCACACAGACCCCTGGAGTTAAAGCCAGACCGGTCTTCACGTCTGGGGTGGGGATGAAACTGGACTCAGGGACGTGAAGAAGTCGGTACCTTCCCTAAGCGGCAGTGTCTGCCCGTAAAAGGCCTCTCCTCGGGGCTGCAGGTGACCGCGTTACCTAACAGGCGCGACGGGGCAACCGCCCGACTAGCGTGGGCTTGCTCTCTGCGCCCGCCGTGCCAGTCCCCGGGGCTCGCGCCGTCCTCACACGAGCCGCGTCCCTCCCCAGGGCTTTCGCAACACAGGCTTGCGCAAGGCCACCTCCAGGAAACTCGGCGGGACAAAGCCATCGCTGAGTGAGTCCACAAGTGGCTTTTTTTTCTTTCCTTTTCATAAATCCTCACCAGAGGATATATTTGATTTCAGAGAGAGGGAGGGAGGGAGAACCATCAATCAGTTGCCTCCTGTACGCGCCCTGACTGGGGATCGAACCTGCAATCTCTCGGTGTATGGGACGATGCTCCAACCCACTGAACGGTTGGCGGGGACCCTAAGCAACTTTTTCATCGTGGCACCACACTTCCCCCACGGGTTGTGTTCAGTTTGTAAGTGTGTGGCAGGCAATTTGTTGCTAAACCAGTTAACTCGGTTTTTAAGCCATTTCCTTTTAGAAAGATAAAGGAGGGACTATCTGTGGTGTAGAGATACCATGTGCTTTGGCACAGAAGAAACCCAAGGGGCCAGTCAGCTGTCAACAAGGTATTAATCCTGACCATGACCCCGTCTACCTAAGCACGTCCTCGAGTGCACTGTGTCACGTAAGGCCACGGGAGCCCTTCCTCTCTCTCCTTTGTGACCGCCTGGTCAGGGTTCCCACGAGGTAGTGCAGTGCATGAGGCTGGCTCAGGGTTCAGAGGTGGGGGTGGGCGTGGCTGGGCAGACCAGGACCTGGCGGACCAGGGCCCCCCGCTGCGGCCAAAAAGGAGGGTTTTCATCTTTTCAGAGTGGCTGAAGGGGAGTCAAACGGGAGTCGATGTCGCCCTGGCTGAGTAACTCGGTTGGTTGGTGTGTCCTCCCCACATGCCAAGGCTGCAGGTTTGATCCCCGGTCAGGACACACACAAGAATCAACCAATGAATATATCAATAAGTGGAACAACAAATCGATGCCTCTCTCTCCCCCCACTTTCCTCTCTCTTTTGAATCCATGAAAACAAAAGGGCGGTGACATTTTGTGGCACATGAACAGTGCAGCCAACTCGCTGTGACACTGGCCACGCGGTCGGCAGAGCTGAAAATGTGCGCGGCGTGCTGATTCCTCCGTGAGCTCGGACGTGAAGCAGGGGTCCAACGCCCTGCGATGGCCGTTAACCCCGGGCTCCTACGGAGCGGGCGGAGGGAGGCAACGGGCCCCTGGCGGTGCGGGTCCGGACACCCACCCTCCACTCTGCACAGCTGCCTCTCCAGCGCATGTGCTGTGCAGGCGCCTCCAGACTGCGGCTGCGCAGTCGCAGCGGCCCCCCCCGCCCCCAGCTCCGAACAAGCTGCGATTGCGCGAGACCCCGGAACCCTCTCGGAGGCCGGGCGCCCCTACCTCAGGTGGTCCGAGTGCATGTGGCTGATGTACACCAGGTCGGCCCGGCACAGCCGCTCCAGCCAGTCAGCCGGCGGCTCGTGGAGCAGCCACCACCCGCGCGCGAAGGCGGGGCCCGTCAGCCAGGGGTCGAACACCATCCGCTTGTCTCCCAGCTTGAGGTCCATGCAGGCGTGCGTCAGGTAAGTCACCTGGGGGAGAGAGTGAGATGCCGGTGGCGGCCGGGTGGCGGCGGCCGGCCGGCCACAAGGCCCCGAGGGGCCCGGGCTGGTGAGCGCACCGAGTCCCGTGGGAGGACTCGGCTCCTGAGCGCGCGCGGGACTCGGGGAGCCTCGAGTCCTGACCTAGACGCGGGGTCGGGGCGCTGCTGTGTGTTAGCAGGGAAAGGCTCGCGGGCGGTTCTGGGTGTGACGCAGGGTGTCAGGCCCCTGCGTTAGCTGGTTCACTCTTGCTGAGTGCACTGCAGGGCGCGTTCTGTGGCAGCCCCCCGAGAACGTGTGCACAAGGAGAGGCAGGTGGAGGCGTCCTGACGGGCCTCGGGGGGTTACATGCCAGCCGGTGAACGATTGGGGCGCGACTGGCTGAGTGGGCAGCAGCCCCACTGAGCAGGCACGTGCGGCTTTCCCTTCCGAGTGGCCCCGACACCCCCCTGGGGAGGCCAGGGTGCCCTGAGAATGGCCGTGAACGGGGACCTGGGGCCAGTGTGACCGCGGGTTCCCATCCGCTCCGCGCCCCCTGCCCGAGGTCTGGCAGGTCCACAGGAAAAAACATGAACTACCAGCGAAGGGAGGGCGGCCAAGGACCCGAATCCGAGTTACTCGGCCTCTTCTGGGCCGGTTCCCGTCGGTTTCCTCCCGAAAAGGAGCCCCTGCCCATTTTCACAAGCTTCCCAAATATGGTAGAAAAATTGACTCTCGGCTGTGGGCGCCTCCCCAACGGCCCAGGAGCTTCCTCTGGAGGAGACGAGCTCTCCCGGAGCCGGGAACGCAGGGGGGGCGGGGCGGGGGGCGGGGGCGGAGCCGCGGGCAGGGCCGGCCACGTGACTGCGTGCGTCAGCGGTCGGTGACCCTGCAGCTGGCGACTGCGAGCCGCCTCCAACAGCTGCAGGCCGTCCTCTGGGGCTCTCCGTTAATGGTGTTTCTCTTTTGTTGGGCGTTTTCCTGGATGTGTTTTCCTGCAGTCCCTGCCAAGTCCCGGAGCGCTCCCGAGGACGGTGGCTCGGGAGTTCAGAGACACTCGGTGGCACGTCCAGGAAGCCCCTCGGAGCTCACGCGGAGTGATGCAGGATGTACACGTGTGTGTGCAGGGACATCTCAGTTTTATCTTGCATGTAACATATGCATGCATAGATATGCACATGAGTGCACATGCTAGGCTTTGGTTTTTGAGAGGACGGCGGTTTTCGTGGTTCCTCACCTGGACCTCCCCGAAGGCCAGCTCCTCGGGGACCCTGGGCTCCGCGTCCCACGGGTTGGGAGGGTTCAGCTCGAGCAGTAGGAGGCCGTTGTCTTCGTCCATTTCAACCACTAGAACCAGAGACAGGGGCGCGGGTCTGGGTGGGGAGCAAGCAGGGCCCCTGAGAAGCACCCCGGGAGTGGACGTGCGCGGCCCAGGTACGCGGCACCGGCAGGCAGAGGAACGTCAGCCCCGGGGACGCCCACCTGAGCCAAGGGACAGCTGCGCAGGCCATCTCCTCCCCCACCTCGCACTCCGGGATGCAGACAGACAGACAGACAGACAGACACACACACACACACCCTCACAGCAACTGCAGCATGACTGACAGGCGAGGGGTCCGGGCCGAGGGCGCGCAGACTGGAAGGCAGAGCGCTCAGGCCAATGTGAGAGGCGATGTGCAGGAAGCAAGAGGAAGAAGAGGAGCGCATGCGCCCTGGCTGCTGTGGCTCAGTGGATTGAGCGTCGGCCTGTGGACCACGGGGTCACAGGTTCGATTCCCAGTCAAGACACTTGTCTGGGTTGTGGGGCCAGGCCCCCAGGAGGAGGTGCATGAGAGGCAACCACACACTGATGTCTCTCTCCCTCTCTCCTTTGCGTGCGAAGGGCAGGGGCCTGGGAGCTCTGGGCGGCCACAGAGGGAACAGAGGGACTGGGAGTTGGTGGCCAAGGAAAGTGGCGTTTGAGGCCCATGGGGCAGACGTCTGAGTGGGCCCTGGACGGGACCAGGTGCCGCACTGGGGACAAGGTTGGGTCTCTGTTGTGGCCCTGTGGGTCACCGAAGAATGCCAAGCACTTGGCGCCGACGCCGTGGGGGCCCGCCCAGGGTCTAGTCTCCTTCTCCCTTATGACGGGCATCCTAACCCCGTGTAGGTGAGCTGGGACACTGGTCTGCAGGTCCGGGAGAGGTCAGGCAAGGGCAAACATCACACGGGTTCACGTGTATGTGGAACATAGAAAAAAAGTCCGAACCCACCCAACCCAACCAAAAGAGGCTCATGGAAAGCACAGACTGATGGTGGTGGCCAGGGGGCGGGGGGGGGGGAGGGAGTGGGTGGAAAAGGTGAAGGAGAAGAGGTGGGTAATGTGGTGGCGGCTTCGCACCGTGACGATGGGCACTGGACGACGGAGTGTGGTGGCCGCATCGCAAGGTGCCCCAGCGCTGGCTCACGAGGTTGTGCGCCCGAAACCAGTACAATACCGTGTGCCAGGTGTAATGTTCAAAGGCAGAGCAAGAACCTAAAACACCAAAGGAAGTCGCAGTCCCCTAGGCCTCCTTGCGGTCCTCGCTAGACCTCGCTCCTACACGCAGTGGCCGCAGACCTCGCTCCTACACGCAGTGCGGGTGGTTCCGGCCAGAGAGGAGTGAGCAGAGGCGAGCGCTGGGACTTCCAGGGACCCTTTTCTACCAGACGGAGAGGGACCAGCTGGAGGGCCCTGCACCGTTTGCCTTTCCCCCTGCCCCTCTTGCTCAGAACTTGGCTGCCGTGCCTGGAGGGGCAGCAGCCGTCTTGGGGTCCTGAGGAAGAGTCAGCCCTTAAGGAGGAAGGAGCAGGAAGAGGGAACGGACTTGGCTCCTTGGTAGCCACGGAGTGGCCGGGCTGCCCGGGGCTGTCCATCTGGCAGCTCCCTGGGACACAGGAGAAGCTCCCCCCGGACGCTCAGGCCGCTCCCGTTCGGGTTTCCCGCCGCCCCAGTGAACGCGGTGCCCGACGGCTGAATCAAGGGGGCAGTCTGATCAGAGCCCACTCAGCCGGACAATAGCGAGACCCCACAGACCCACTGCGGGGAGGCGGGGCCGTGGGTGAGAGCTCAGCGCCCTGGGGGCCGCGTTCGAGCCACACTCTCCCACTTAATAGCTGGGCGACCCTGGGCAGGTTGCTCAACATCTCTGTTCTTCCGTGTTTTCGCCTTTAACTCTCGCTCCCTCGCCTGACAGTTTATCCTAATAAATGCCAGCAGTTCTGTGAGTTGCTAAATGAAAGCCAATGAGCTCCCCGGATCTAGGCAACCCCCACCCCGAAGGCTGTGCATTTTCTGACTTTCTTCCGAGTGTATTGAAAAAGTGGGTCGTCGCCTGCACACTTTCCAAATGAACACACGTTGGCGCTTTCAGACGACTGCTTATGGGAGGAACACAGGTTAAACATCACCCATAAAATGAAAAACCGTGCGTCTTGGAATTCCCCCAGTGGTTGCAAACACAGACTTATGTAAGCCGTTGAACTTCAAGGTCACCCCGAGGGACCATGAGAAGGCCAGCACCCGTGCCTCCCCCTCTCTCACTTCCCTGCGCACTGCCAGCCCCTTCTGCGCCCCGACGAGGGGCGGCTTCTTTAGATGGCTCCCCGGACGGCTCCCCGCGCTTCTCGCGGCCTGGCCTCACGGGGCCCGAGATGGCACCGCATCGGGGACGGCACGCTGGCCACTCTCCGCGCAGTCGTGCTCCGCAGCCCTGACGCGCGGCTATTGTCCACCCTCTCGTCACCGGACACGTCTCGTGCTGTTTGCTCGAGGTCTGTGTTCTCTGTGAGACTCGGCGCCAGCGGAGCGGGGCTTGTGGCTTCTGCGCCGCTGGGTCAGCAGTGTGCCCGGGACGCTGCCTGCCCGGCCCCTGCGGGCGCTCGCTAACTCTCTCTGGAGCTAACAGATTAATGAACGACCATAATTCCATGTCCCCCAGCCTCCCCCGGGGCTGCAGAGTTCCCCTCCCGGCCGAGGCACCACCCCTGCCCAGCTGTGGCAGCCGGAAGTGAGGGATTTAAATATAGAATGATCTCGGCACAAGCGGAACATGAAATGTATTACTTCTTCATTTTTAAAAGGCCACGTTAAAAACCAGAAACGTGGTGGCACCCGACAGCGTCCACTGGTTCTTGAGAGGGGTGAGGGGGTGGGGGCCGGGGGCGCAGAGCGTGCCAGCCTGGAGCCTGAGGCCAGCGCCCCTGGGGGCCCCTGTGATTCACCCAACGCCCCCCGTGCCCCGCCGGGCACACGAGGACCCGCGTTAGGGTGCTCCTTCCGACACCAGCGTTCACCCCCTTGCACTGCCCCTCTGCAGCCTGACACCCGACTGCGTCAATGTGCGTGGCTGATGCTCTAGCCGCTGGGAGTGCACGGGCGGCCGGAACACCGCAAGGACGCCCAGCTACTTCCTTCACGCCGCCCTCCTTCCTCCTCTCCGCCCGGCGGAACTCCGCCCGGAGCCGCCACCCGGCACACTGCCCGTCGGGAGGGCGGCGTGGCTAAACATGGCGGGCCTCCCGCACGGCCACATTGACATTACCCCTGAACTACAGAACAGCCGCCACTCAGAACCATCAGAAGTCAAGCTGAGTGGGAGCCCTACAAGGAGGGGACGAAAGAAGAAGCCATATCACGTCTGGTAGGAGGGGCAGAGGTGTGGCTTGGGTGGGCCCCGCACCTGTGTGTGGTGGCTGACACCACGGGAGGGACAGCTCAGGAGCAGGGGCCCCAGCCGCACACCAGGTCCCCCACCCACGGTTCCAGTTCCAGGAAGAGAAGTCCCACAGCTTCTAGCTGTAAAAACCAGCGGGGTTCAAGGCTGTGGGGGACGGAAACTTCTGAAGTCTCACACAGTTCCTCCTAAAGGGGCCGGGCACAGAGTCACTCTGACTCACTCACTAAGAGCTCCAGCTCCGGGGCAGCGGGCTGAAAGGCCTCAGAGACAGAGGGGGAGGGCTGAATTGACCGGCAGCGGGGCGAGAGCTGATGGGGGGTGGGGGGCAGCTTCTTTCTGGACGGAAGAGCTGGCAGAGGCCCCTGTTCCTTTGCTGAGCCCTGCCCCCACGGAGCCGGCGGGCGGACGCCAGGTCTGGGACCCCACCCAACTGGCTCACCCTGTTTGCCCCGCCCTGAAGACTCCCTGGGGCCCTGCCCCGCCCAACTTTCGGGCCAGCTCCAGCTGTTTCCAGTGGCTTTTGCCTGTGAGTGGCCTGTCTTGGCCGAACCTTAAAATTTTCCTGAATTCTCCCACACAAGCAGCATCTGGCCGCAGGGAGCCCCGAACCTCTTGCTGAGTTGCCCCGGGCCTGGCACTAGCGACCACTGGCCTTGGTTCGCAGCTCGGCCTCGCTGGGCACTTCCAAGCCCAGCAGGAGCGGCAGCTGCCCGCAGGCCGCTTTGCAGCTCGTGCTGCCCCGGTCTGGGTGGGACAGAGGCAGTGGCTGAACCCCGCTGCGCCAACAGCGATCCGGAGGAGGGTGCGCACAGCCTACGCGTTGGGCACCCACCCAGCTTGGGTGGGCGGGGAGGCTGTGGCCCCGGACCCTCTCCATCAGGCAGCGCTCACAAGCCTGGGACACGTAGCAGCCCCACCCAATGTATGAAATCAGACACAGGGAGGCTGCCAAGATGAGGACACCAAGAAACACGGCCCACAAGGAGGGACAGAACAAAACTCCAGAAAAAGAACTAAACAAAATGGAGAAAGTAATCGATCAGCTGTAGAGCTCAAAACACCAGTTGTCAGGATGCTCAAGGAACTTAGTGAGAACCTCAGGAGCATAAAAAAGACCCAGTCAGAAATGAAGGAGGTACTAATTGAAATGAAGAACAATTTACAGGGAAACAACAGTAGAGTGGATGAAGCAAAGAATCAAATCAGCAATTTGGAATATAAGGAAACAAAAAAACAACCAATCAGAACAGCATGAAGAAAAAAAGAATCCAAAAATGTGATAGTGCAAGCAGTCTCTGGGATAACTTCAAGAATTCCAATGTTGGTAACATAGGGGTGCCAGAAGGAGAAGAGAAAGAGCAAGGAATTGGAAACCTAGTCAAAAAGAGAATGAAAGAAGACTTCTCTAATCTGGTGAAGGAACTAGATCTGAATGTCCAGGAAGCACAGAGCGTCCCAGCCGAGAGGGACACAAACAGGCCCACTCCAAGTCACATGGTAATTATAATGCCAGAGGATAAAAATAAAGAGAATCTTAAAAACAGCAAAAAGAAAAGCAGTTAGTTACCTACAAGGGAGCTCCCATAAGACTGTCAGATAATTTCTCAAAAGAAACTCTGCAGGCTAGAAGGGATTGGCAAAAAATGTTCAAAATGAGGAAAATCAAGGACCTACAACCTAGCTTACTCTGCCCAGCGAAGCTGTCATTTCAAACCGGAGCATGTGTAAAGAGCTTCCCAGAGGAGAAGAAGGTGAAGGAGTTCATCGTCACCGAACCAGTATTTCATGAAACGGTAAAGGGCCCTTTGTAAGAAGAAGAAGAAGATCAAAAATATGAACAACAAAATGGCAATGAATTCCTATCTATCAACAACTGAATGTAAAAAACAAAATCAACAGGGAGAACAGAGACAGAATCGTGGAGGCAGAGAGCATTTTGGTGGTTGCCAGATGGGAGCGGGGTCGGAGGTGGGTGGGTAAGGAGGTGGAGAGATTAAAAAGCACAAGCTGGTAGTTACAGAGTGGTCATGGGGGTGTGCAGCGCAGCACAGGAAACGGAGCAGACGAAGAACCCACGGACACAGGCAGTGGGGTGGAGATGGCCCGAGGGCGTGGGGTGGGGCTGGGTGAAGGGGGACAGCAGGGGAAAACTGGGGACAACAGAATAGCACAAACGATTTATAAAAACCAGAAATGATGTCTCCAGCACTCCTGGATTGGTTCACATCTACTTTTTTTATTCCAGTAGCAGTCACTCTGAAAGCGTGTCTGACACACCGCTGAGCGGTTGTAAGGGTTGTCCTAAGTAACGTTTTCCGCAGGCAGAAGGCCACTTGAATCCGTTAGAACAGAGACCAAGCCGCTCCTGCCTTAGCCCCACGTGCGGCAGAAGCAGAAAGGAGAAGAGGAAGCCTGCAGAACCGTGGGCAGGAACGGCGGTCTCTTATCTGCACAGGCAGCGCCCTGCCCTTGGGAGCCTGCCATCTCTCTCCAGAGCTGTGACTTCCCGTCCGGAGGACCGCGCCCACAGACATCCGTCTCGCGGGCCCCCTGACGGTTGGGAGATCGGGGCCACTGGGGCTCAGGAGCCTAACGGGGTGCCCTGGCCCCGGACAGCCTCCGGCCCCTCTGGGCCCCCACGCCACGTCACTGTCCTCTCACTGAGACCGCGCCCTCTTACCCGGCCGGGTGGCTGTCAACACCCTGCGCGACGTTCGCGCACGGGAGGGTCTCAGCCCACAGTTGCCCCACAGGTGGATGCACGGAGGGAGCTTTCAGAGAAACCCTCTGCCTAGAGTTCCCGGTGTTCGTGGTAGAGAGAGGACAGGACACCCACAGCGGCCGAGCACAGTGTTTCCAAAGCTGCGGGTGAAGCTGGACACGGGAGGACAGGGAGGACAGGGAGGACGCCCCGAACCATGGCCACAGGCGACGTGGGGGGCACGGGAGGGGCCTTACCCAGCTCGTCCTGGCAGAAGCTGCCCGGCGGGTTGATGTACCTCATGGTGCTCACGTCCAGCCTCCAGTTGTGCTTCGTGCATTTCACGGACCTGGGCGCAAGGGGTGCGGCCGTCAGAGCCGCCAGCAGGGCCAGCGTTCAGGGCCGAGGGGTGCGGCTGTGCCGTTGTCCGCAGGCCACAGCCGCACTGCCAGGGAGACCACCTGCTCTCCAGCAGCGTCTGGGACAGTGGCTGCCCCCGCCCCCGCCCCTCTTCTAGGAGAGGGGGAACAGCCTGAAGGAGCCCCGAACCTTGTGAATAAGCAGCGGTGAGGGAGTGAGTCCCCCAGCACACCCTCACATGGGACCCATGTGCCCTGGAACGTCTCCTGCTTATCAAGCCAAGAATCACTCTTAAGTGACTATTCTTAGGGGGAAATTCAGAAAGTTCAGCAAAGGGCCCAGCCCTGGCCGGGCGGCCCAGCTGCCTGGGGCGCTGTCCTGCGTGCACACCAAAGGGCTGGGGGTCCGACTGCCGTCGGCGCGTGTTTGGGAGGCAACTGACCGGTGCTTCTCGTATCCATGTCTCTCTCTCTCTCTCTCTGTCTCGTATCAATAAACAGATGGGGATTTTTCAAAAGTCTGCCAACTTAAAGAGGAAAGGAAAGGCCCTAAAAGTCTGAGATCAGTGAGCTTCCCTACCCAGACGTGTGTAAAAGTTCTGGACTCGCCAGGGGAATGCTCTGCTGCCCGGCTCCCCGACGGTTTCTCCACGAGCGCCTCTGCTGCCAGACCCCAGGGCAGGAGTCCGCAGTCCCGGGGAGGGAGCGGGGGCCCAGGTACCTGCCATCCAGGTCCTCGATGTCCCTGATGAACAGGCCCCCTTGGTGCTTGCACAGGTTCTTGCATGCCCTCAGGCAGCCCTTGTCCTTGTAGAAGATGTAGTCCCGGCCGGTGCTCTTGTTTCGGAAGAAATTGATCCCTTCCTGGAGGCCAGCGACCTCCTCAGGGGACAGGCACAGCAGGGTCTCGGCTCTCTGCTCGATGCTAGGAGGGGGCACACGTTCGGAGGGGAAAGACGAAGACTGTTAAGGTCTGAAGAGGACTGACCGTCTCTTTTTCAGTGAAGACGCCGTTCCAGCCTCTCCCCCGCCAGCCAGGTCTGGGGCGTGGGGCGGCACCCTCCCCCTGTGCCCCGTCCCCAGCAAGCACGGTGCTGTCACTTGCCTGCCCATCGCTGGCACCCTCCTGCCTCCTCCTGGCTACTTAGAAAGAATGGTCGCTGCTTTTTTGTTTCTGTTGTGTTTTGACTCCCGGAGTGAGTGGAGAGAGGATGTGAACGCCAGTTCAGTCATTTCCGTTGCTTCATTCCGAGTTCCTCCCTCCACCACACCAGCCCCGTGCAGGGGGCTGAAGCTAACGCAGCAGTCAGGGCGTCCGGGTCCCTGGATGTGGGGCAGAACCCTCAACAGAGGGCAGAAGCTGCTGCTGTGCTGCTGCCTCTTTAAAGATTTTGTTTGCTTTTAGAGGGAGACGGGGAGGGAGGAAGAAAGAGAGGAGGAGGAACAACCAAGTGGACCCAACCCAGAAACATGCCCCAACTGGGGAAAGGGGGATCGAACTGGCAGCCTGTTGGCTTATAGGTCAACGCTCAACCCACTGAGCTATACCAGCCAGGGCTTGCAGGAGCTTCTTAAAGACTGTGTCTTTTCTACTTTTCTGTCCCCACGACTGAGCACGCTGCCTGCCAGCTGGTGTCTTCAGAGCAGCTACTTAACAAATGAACCCTTCCACTGTACTGAATGTGAATCGTTTATAAAAACCTCCAGCTGCGAAGGAGCATTTGGTTTTTCATATTTCTTTACAAGGAAGCTAACTGTGTTACACTTCCCAGCGTCCAATTTCTGCACAAACTCGGATGCAACTCCGAACCCTCAGGGGCGATGTAGCCTTCGCAACGAGAGGTTTCAAAATGTCCTTCTGCGTATCTCGGGGCCGCGCTCTGGTGCAGGGACTCCTGCCCCACTGCAAACCGAAAGCAGACTGGTCGGTCCTCATGGGTTAACTTAAAGCTGGTTGGCAGTTCAAGTGCCGTTTCGGCCTTTTTACTTTCATTTTTAGTAGTGCAGATTTTTTACACAGGGGGTTAAAAATACGTTTTCAGAGCCCCCCCAGGGTGGGTGGAGGACACGGGCACACCGGCCCCACCCTGACACCGTAAGGAGGCGGGGCCAGCTCTGTGTTGAGGGCGACGAGTGTCTCAAGGCACATTCCCCTTGTTTTCCAGCCCGCGTCCCTGGCGACTCTGTTTACAGCAGATTTGAAATGTTTCCAGAAACACACTTCACACTCATCTGATTAGAAGCAGCCCTCTGTAAGCCTCATGAATTTTTTATTTAGGATTTTTTAATTTTCAAAAGACTTATGTATTCATTTTTAGAGAGAGAGGCAGAGAGGAGGAAGAGGGGGAAACATCCACGTGTGGCTGTCTGTCATGTGCCCCCTGCTGGGGACCTGGCTCGCAGCCCAGACATGGGCCCTGACTGGGAATCGAACCAGTGACCCTTGGGTCTGCAGGCCGGTGCTCAGGCCACTGAGCCACAACAGCTGAGGCCCTAGACTTGGAGTTTCACAGCCAGAGAACCCGGCGCAGCCTCCGTGCGGCCGCCGGTGCGCTGGGCTCTGCCCTGCGGGGCTACACGGGTCCAGTTACCCCCCCGTCCTCTCGTCTCCTTCCGACCCCGTGACCCCGTCGTCCCCCCAAACCCGCAGCGATGTGTCCCCAAGGGCACCGACACGGTTACGACACCAGCACCCGAGCCTGGAAGACACCTCCTCCCAGCACACGCGTCGGGAAAGCCTCAGTCTGCGGGCCGAAAGGGGACCCCGGGGAGCCCGCGGTGAGGGCCGCCGGTGGGCGGAGCCAGTGCCCGGGGCACGCAGTGCGCCGCCCCTCGTGGTCCCTAGTCTCTGTTACGGTTTTGATGCGCTGCTTTTTCCTAGCTCCTGCCAGGGTGGTGATTAGTGTGGTTGTAGTTCTATTTCCAGATCTGCTATAGAGAGATGTAACTTAAAGAAACTGTGGTAAAAAAACATACAATGAAAATTTTACCACGTTAACCGTTTTGCGGTGTGCCCTTTGTCGTGTTAAGTATATTCACATAGCTGTGCGTCAAATTTCCAAAACTTTTCCCTTGCAGAACTGAAAGACCGTGCCTACTAAACCGTAACTCATTTCCCGCTTCCCCCAGCCCTGGGTAACCCCCGTTCTGCTCTCTGTGTCTGTGAATCTGAGCACGTTGGACACCTCACGAAAGTGTGACCGCACAGTATCTGTCCCTTGGTGATCAGCTTACTGCCCCAAGTACAGGGTCCTCAGGACCCGCCCACGTCGTGCAGGCGGCCGGAGTTCCTTCCTTGTGAAGGCTGAGCGTCACCCTGCTGTGTGAATGGGTGGCGTTTGAGTCTCCGTCCATCAGCCAACTCAGGGTTTCGTGGCTGCCGCCTCTGGGCCACTGGGGACGGCGTGGCTGTGCACGTGGGGGCGCGGACGTGAGTTCAAGCCCCTGCCTTCCATGCCTTGTGTTAATACCCAGAGACGGGATTGCTGGGTCCTGTGGCAGTTCCGTTTTTAGATTTTACTGATTTAGAATATCTTGCTGTGGCTTTATGGAAACATAATTGACAAGTGAAATTGCACGCAGGCAACGTGCACAACGTGATGGTCTGATGTGTGTGCGCCGGGGAGAGGATTACCGCCGGTTACCCAGGCTAACGGACCTCTCGTCAGCTCACGTCATGGTCCCCTGTGTTCCCTGTCTCTCTGTGGTGACAGCGCTCGGGAGCTACTCTCCCGCAGCCCCGTCTCAGGACACGGCGCAGCGCGCCGCACTGCGGCCCCTGCGCTGTGCGTCAGACCCCGGGACTCCCTTACGGCCACCGGAGGCTTGTCCCCTTCGGGGAGGTGGTTTTTTTTTTTTAATTAAAGAAAAATGTAAAGTAAATATTAACCAAAGAATGTAGGCAGATGGCAAGTAGCTGCACAGAAAATACTCAACATCGTCACTTGTCGTCAGGGAACAGAAAACCGTAACGAAACGAGAGACCCCCACGCACCTGTCAGGACGCCTAAAGCCCGAAAGCCTGGCAGTGCCCGAGGGTGACGTGGGGAGGGAGCCCCGGGAACTGACTCACTGCCGATGAGAGGGAGCACGGTGCACCCTCGGGAGTCCAGCTTCGCGCTTTCTTACGAAGCTTCGCGTAGTCTCACCACGTGACCCAGCGAGCACCTGTAAGGCGTTCAGCCAACGGACTGGGAAACTCATGCCCCCCCCACGAAAACCCACATGGGAATGTTTCTAGCAGCTCTACTGGTCACTGGCCACACCTGGAAGAGACCAAACTGTCCTTCAGTGAGGGGGTGGTGCACACAGGGGGGTAATATTTGGTGCAGAGTAAGCGCACTGTGTAGTTTTCATGTGCAGTTTTTGGTCTGGCGTGGGACTCCGCCCTAATAACAAGTGAAAACGGGATACACTGAAAATCAGAGGCTCTTGTTACATGTGTCGGAGAGCCGAGGTTATGGGCCGCCCCCAGGCTGGAGGGACAGCAGGCGGGCACAGAGAACCGCATGCACCGAGCGGAAAGTCACAAGCAGGTCCCTCCGCGGGACCGACGCTGGGTTCCCGTCCCTCAGCTCTTCGTGTCCCGCTGGCCACCACACAGCGCGAGGCGCCCCAAAGGGCGGAAAGCGCGGTCTGGAGGGACCCTGCAAGCCCCAGAATCAGACTTAGGTCTGGAAGGGAGGTTGGAAGTACCAGGTCAGGAACGGAAAAACCATCCAAATGCAAAGGGCTCGAGCAGGAAAGGCAGACAACCCTCCAGGACAGATGAGAAACAGCAGAGAGAGGGAAACTCGAAGAAAGAATTAAAGAGAAATAATAATAATAATAATAGTGTTAATAACAGATAAAGAATTCCGTGGTGTGGCCAAGGACAGACCCTCTGAGCTTGAGGGTCCGACTGAAGGAACTTCCTGAACTGAAAGCGAAGAAAGGTTCGGTCTCCGCACCCCCCGCACAGAGTGCCCAGGGAAGCCGTGGAGACCGCCCCTGCTGCGCAGCTGCACCTGACGCAGCCGCGGGCCGAGACGGGGGCTGGGGCGGAATCTGATGGGAAGGGGCCGCACGGGAACCGGGGGAGCGAGATTCCTCGCAGGGCAGCCACACAGCCAGCCCCGCTGGCAGCCCCCGAACGCGATGAGGAACCGGTCAGCAGAGCCACACGGAGCCAGAGTGGACAGAAGACAAGGAAGGCTGTGTCCAAACTGGGTCTTGGACAGGTGACGGGCTGCTGGGTCACACTCTCTGGACACCTGAGAATATCCCCTTTGTCATCACAAAGCCACGGGCCTACAGGAGCCCAGCTTCAGGCACCTACATAGCTCTGGGGAGCCAAGGTCAAGGGTTGACCTCAGCAGGCTCAGCTAGCAGCTACTGAGAAATTCAGAGTTCAAGGTGAAGCTGTCACAAGCATTCAGGAAAACCCACAGACTCCAACTGCACAAGAGGAAAGAGAGGAGGAAGAGGCTGATGAAACAGGGAGGGGAGTTGAGGATGCAGGTTCGGTCAATGTCACAAGCAAACGTGGCGAGAGCAGGGGCAGTGCCAGCCCCGAGGAGGAGCGGCGGTGGCGCTGTGCCTGCTGCCACGGAGCTGACCTGGTGCCCGTCTGAACCAGAGGACCCTTACTGTGCTGTTTCAGAAGAGCTACTGCAGCCTGGTTTGAGGTTGGTACTGTTTCTATCACCAGTGAAGTTGTGGCTTCTTGTGGGAAAAAAGAAAAGAAGGGAAGAAAAAGCAAAGCAAAGAGAAAACAGGCTCCCCACCCTGAAAAACGGAACAGAGTAGCCCAGAAGGGCGGCTCAGACCCGGAAGGGGTAACATCGTGCGTAGTGAGAACAGCAGGGGAGCAGGGAGGAAAACAGAAGACGTGTGTGAGGTTGACAGTGGCTCAGAATCCCTCCCAAATGAGTGCTGGATACCGACCCGCAGGTCCAAAAACATCCAAGAACACCAAGCATGGTAAATGCCCCCCCCCAAAACGACACCTAGGCTGAGCTCACTGAAATTTCAGAAAATCAAAGATGAAGAAAACATCTTGAAAGAAGCCAGAGGGGGAAAAAGACCTCTTATTTATCAAGGAACAAAGGTGAGAATTAAACATGAATTCTTCTCAGAAACCACACGCGCAAGAAGAGGGTGAAGTTACATAACCGAAGTGTGGAGAGAAAAACCCCAAGAGGGGACGGGCCATCCGCATGGGCGTGCGCCCCTGAAACAGGCTGAGAAATGACCAGTCATCTTCGCAGACGGAAGGCCCAGGCCCACGGGGGTCTCCGGTTGAACTCCACCAAACCTTTAAGGGAGAAGTGATACCAGCTCTGCACAATGGCTGGTTTGTGCCGCACCCTCACAGTGTTGTCCTTTCACAGGTGACTCCCAGACGGGACGGCACCGCATTCCACTGACTTTTCAACCCCCCCAGCAGCTCGTGGTTCAGCAAAAGTGCCAGCGCCCACACGGCCTCTGGCTGGCCCCCTCTCCAGGCCCCTCGGCCCGACCCGGCCTTGCCCCCCGGCAGCTTACTGGTCTCCTGGTGCGCCTCCGGCCATCCTTGTTTCCTGTGTGGCCGCCTCCTTCCCCTCCTCCGCCTCTGCGAGCTGTCGTTGCCCAAGGCTCAGCGCCCGGCCGGTGGCACCTGGTCCGGGGATCTCACCCTGCACGCAGGGGACTCTCGGGCGCGCACACGAGCGAGCAGGGCGGAGCCGCATCTGAGGAACACCTGGTCCCCGGCGTGCCCGCAACTCCAGCCAGCACGCCTCGCCCGTCCCCAGTCCTTCCAGTGCCCCTCGCGACACTCCCCGTGACCTCTGACCCCTCCCCCTCGCTCACGCCCCGACTCCGGTCCGTCAGGGTCCCCGCTCACAGGGACCTCACGACCCTCTGCCTGCACCACCCGAGCTGCCGCCACCTCCCTCCTGGACCACTGCCGCCGACCCCTCCTGGTCACCCCGCCTCCACTCTCATCTGCTTTGCCCACGGCGGCCAGAGTAACATATTTAAAATGGGATTTCAAACACAGTTTTACCCCGTTGCCCTTTCCCCCGCCCCTCAGAAGTGCATTCCTGTCCCTCCGCTGTTCTGAGGAGAAAGAACACAGTTTCTGGCATGGCCTCAGGGCTGACACCTGGTGACTCCCAGCCTCTCCCTCCAGCCCCGTTTGAACTTTGAACGGCACTTGTTCTCGGAATACCAGCTGGCTTGGCCTTGCGTTCCCCCCCCACCCCCCAGCGCCAGGCTCTGCCGGGAGCCCACCGCCCACTGCCTCCCCCCACCAGGGCCAGGCCCCACTCACGCTGCGGCGGCAGCATCTTCCCGGGGCGCCAGGGACGGCCCCGCGCCCCCGCCCCCAGGCCCGCGGCACCGGGTCCTGACTGCCCTTTCGTATGACTCCACATTGTCACGGTGAGGCTCATCCACATCTGTGCCCCCTAAAAAAGCTGAAAACCGCACGAAGGGAGGAATCGCGCCTGCGTGAGTCTGCCCGTGCACCCCGGGAGCCAGGGCACCTGCGGATTCCAGTTCCTGTTCGCTGAACGCATCAGTGCACGCACGTCACCGTCAGCAGCCCAGGGCGGTGACGATCCGAGAGCTTTGTCACCAGCCTGAGACTCAGACCCCCGCCACGTCGAGACTGTCGCTAGGACAGCTCCGTGCTGAGCGGTGAACTTGTGCTTCCCTGGATGTCACACCACGGACACTTTAAGAATTAAATGTCCCCCAGACAGCACCCCCCCCCCCCGTATGAGTCAGCAAGGGTCTGTCTAGAGGGCCGTGGGCACCACCCTCGACGTTCCCAAGCGCCGACCCAGCTCACAGGGCCCCGCGCCCCACGACCAGGCGAGCGTCCTGCTGACGGGACCTGGAAGGCTGACGGCGCCTTTGAGCCGTGAACTCAGGGCACCTGCTAGTCCAGGGCCGCCCTCAGCTCCAAACCCTGCGTCCTCCGGCCCCCGCCCCGCCCCCCCTCCCCGCACCCCCCAGCCTTGAGCCTTTCGGATCGCTCTCGGCCCTAAAGCTTTCTGAGCTCTGGGCCAAGCAACAGGTGAGGCACTGACGGGAAACCAGAAGTCCCGCTGGAAGCCAGAGGAGAAGGAGCACGACCTACTGAGAGACGTCTCTGGCGAGGGGCTGGCAGAGGGGTCCCCGCAGGGCGCGCAGCTGAACCCCCACCTCCGCCCAGGAGCGCTCGGTTCCGGGACCTTTCCTCTGGCGAGAAGACGGACCAGCCGAGACACCGACCCTCAGTTCGGGGTGGGCAGGGGGGGGGGGGGACGGGGGACGGGAAAGCGTACCTTCGCTCCATTCCAGGCGGGAGGAGGCCGGGCAGCACAGACACAGCTCCTTCGAGAAGGGAGAAACAGAGAGACTGAAGCGCTCTGGGAAGGGATCCTCAGGCTGCGGGCGACGTGCTGGTAGCAGATTTGATTTGCTCTCTGCGAGGTCAGGAGACCTTTCCCGACGCAGGGCAGGCGGCAGCCGGTCAGGCCCCGGGCGCCCGGGCTCGGCGTCTGACGCGCCTCTGCTATCTGCCCACCTCGGCCCGGCCGGCCCCGCCCCGCCCCGCCGCGCAGGGAGTCCAGATAAACTCCGGCTCCCGGCTGGCACGGGGGTGGGGGGGTGCGTGCGCGTGCGCGCGTGCGTGGGGGGGTGCGTTCTGCAGGCCGGTAAGTGGCGGTAAATTAGAAACCATTAAGGAAGAGTTATTACCCCGCCCCCCCCCGCCCCCCCTCCTGAAAGCGCATCAGCTGCCGCGCGGCGGCGGGCGGCAGGCGTCGTCTCCCGTAATGGACCCGGAGTGACGGCTCGGCTGCAGAGCAGGGGGCCTCGGGGAGCGTCCCCCTGTGGGGCATGGGGTTTGCTTCCGGGGCCCTCCTGGCTCCCGCGGTGCGCCGCCTCCCGGGTCCCGGGAGCCTCGTGCAGCCTTGGGGCAGGGTCCCAGCCCGGGTCCCCCGAGAAGGCCGCAGTCTTCTCTGTTCCTCCCCCCCCGTGGGGCCGGCACCCCGTCTTTCGCCCGTCCCCGGGGTGGCCTCAGAGGCACAGCAAAGGAGGGGGCTCTCCGGGGTTCGTCTGCCCACCTGGCCTGACGTCTCAGCTCGCGCCCTCCGCCGTCGTGGGGGGCCTGTGCTCCCTGCCTCGCCGGTTTCTCCTCCTCCCGGGTTCCCGGAGAACTGTGTCCCTCAGGCGGGCACCTGGGGAACGAGGTGGTGGCGCCGGGTTCCCCGCGGTGGCGCGCTCGCGGGAGGAGGCTTGTTTGTGAGCCCGGGCTTCTGGGGCCCCGGGAGCGTCACCGAGGCCTCGAACTCCCCACGGGGCTTCCGCGCGGCAGGCCCCCGGGGAGAGCACGCCTGCCCTGGCTGGAGAGAATGCCCCGATGCGGGCGGGCACAGGGCCAACCCGGGCCAGCCCGGGCCAGCTGGCCCCGCAGGCATGGCCGGGGACCGAGTGCCGGGGGGGGGTGCGGGGAGCCCAGAGCCTGTCCCCAGAGCCTGTCCACATCTGGGCAGCAGGAGCGGGCAGTGGGGAGTCTGGCGTTCACTCGTGGCCCAGGGAGAGGCCGGGGCCGGGCAGCACTGCCCACGCTGCATGATCACTGCGGGCTGTAGGGCTGTGCGCCCCCTACGACCCCACAGACCCCACCACGGACGCCTGCCTTCGGGAGGAGCGCAGAGACCACGGGGAGACGCCGACACGACAGCCCCCGAGGGAGCCCACGTCCGCCCCCAGGCCGGCCAGCTCCTCTGTTTAGAAACGAGAGAGGTCCAGGCCGGGGTGGGGGGCGGTAGGGGCCGCCCCCTGGGCACTGGAGTCCTGACAGACCGGCGGCTCCGAGGGCAAAGCCGCCTCTGCCCCAGCCTTCCCGCGCAAGCTCTGCGTCTGCCCTGGCCCGCTCGGGCCCCTGGGTCCGGTCCCCGCGTGTTTCCCTCCATCTGCCGAGCTCCTTGTCTCCCTGAGGCCCCCTCCCCACTTTCTGAGTTTACTCCTCCCGGCCTTCCCTCCGCTGCCGCAGGTGCTCTTCTCTCGGGGGGTCGGAGGGCAGGGCGACCCCGCCTGGGGGGTCTGGTTTGGGGTCCGCGCCCCTCGCCTTACCTTGGGCGCTCCCGTGTCCCAGGCCCTCCCTTGTCACTGCCGAGAGGACAGAGACTCTGTGAGTGCCGCTTGCTCGTCTCCAGAGCAGCGCACCTTCTCAGGGGGAGGTTGGGCTGGCCGCGGCCCCAGGGTGTTCCAGGAAACCTGAGGGTCGGGCCCTCACAGGGCTGGATCCTCCCCAGGTGAGGCCCGTGGGGGAGGGAGGGGACTAGTCCAGTTGCCAGCTTCCTCAGGGTCCAGTGCCTGAGTGGGCAGGGCCACAGCACAGTGTGGGCAGGGAGGGGGACAGGGCCCGGCTCTTTCCGCGCTCCTGGCTGGACTCCGAAAGCCCTGCAAACCCAGCCGCGCGAGACCGCAGACGGAAGTGGGGGACGGGGGCAGAAGGCTCCGGGTGAGCCGCTTTGGCCGCGTCCCGCCGCCCGGCTTTGATCTCAGGAGGCTGCACGGGCTCCTCCCCTCTGCCCGTGGGCCACCCTGGGTGCGGCCCGGCGGCCCGGAGCGGAGCGCTGTCTCCCTGAGCTGCATGAGGGAGACTCAGACACCTTCTGTGACCTGTCTCCCTTGGACGGCCCACTGTCTGCTCACGACGGGCTGGGCCCCGGGCCCCGAGTGCGTGTGCAGGGCACAGCGGTTCGGCACGCGCCCTCCTCACACACACACACACACACGCACGCGCGCGCGCGCCCGCCCCTGTCACCGAGACACGCGACCTTCGAAGCCTCAGGCACAGAACGGCCGTTTCAGTCTCGTCTTCTCATTCCTGGGAGGAACGTTGCCCGGAGAACGTTGAGTACGTTTCTAAGTACTTTAGCATTTCACGAAAGCAGATCAGCAGGAAATGACATTTGCCGATCAAAGCAATGGCATCCTCTCGCAGGACAGAAGGAGCCTTCTAATGCGATTGTCTTGCTGAGTTAATTGGATTTCCACGTTTGCACAGGACGGGCGAGGGACTGGGCGGGGGTGTGAGAGGCCGGCCATAGGCTGGCCTGTCCCTGACCGGGCGGGCAGCTGCGTCCTGTCTGAGCAGAGGGTCCTCCCGAGCGAGGGGGTTGGGCCGTTCAGCCTCCCCTCAGCCAGCGGTTTTCGGCCCTTTCTCATCTCGGGGCGCACATACGCTGGTGGCTAGGACACCACAAAATACATTATATTTTTTGTGTCTGGCAAAAAAAAATAGGTGTAATTTTGATTCATTCACCCCAGGTGAATATTATCATCTTAGCTGTTGTCTTTATTTATTTTCTAAAAGGCTGTATTGATTTATTTATGTTTAGAGAGGGAGAAAGAGAGAGGGAGAAACGTCAAAGCGTGGGTGCCTCTCACGCGCCCAGGCGTGCGCCCTGACTGGGAATCGAACTGGCGGCATTTTGGTTTGCAGGCTGGCACTCAATCCACTGGGCCACACGCCAGCCAGGGCCTATATTCTGTCTGACAGTCTAAGGGCAGAGAGGTCAGCGCCCCGGACTGCACAGCCAGGCGCTGCGTGTTTCAACAACCCCCGGAACCCCCCGGGCTGTGAACCGCTGCCCTGGGCCCAGGAGCAGCCCAGAGGGCGAGAGCTTGCTTCCGGTCACTCGCCCCTTGCAGGCGAAGGGGTTCAGCGCAGCTCCCCCACGGCGCCCTCCGACCCCCGCGCCCGGCTCCAGCGAGGCCTTCCCGTCCTGCCCGAACAGTGGAGCTGCCAGCCAGGCCGCGGGCAGCCGCCGGGCCTTCCCAGAGCCGCAGGCACGGTGGCAGCGATCCCAGGCCCACTCTCGGGTAGGTCCCCACCCCTCTGTGTCCCTGAGGCACGTGGTTGACATCCTTAAGGGGAAGCCCCCCCCA